ATTTCATGCGTTCTTTGCTAAAAGCAACTTGCATAATTTGTTATACCTGACAATCAAAGAAAAAGAGTTATATTGTACTCTGACTTTTCTCTTTTGAACATCCTGTCGGAGAGATTATTTGAATTAATTTAAGATGAAAACCGAGGTTCAGCTATTTTGGCATTATTTGCGTCCTTCTTCTCGTTTATCAAATAGTTTCCTCATCGGTTATAAGTTATATTTCCCTCTGCATGCATAATGTTGTATATAGTTTTAAATAATATTGGCATTGTAATGTAGCATATGTTTATTTCATTTTAGCTTATTTTCTCGAAGATATTAGCTCTACAGCTACACTGTGAATTTCCGAGCATAAATGAAGTATGTGTATGTATATATTTATGTATGTATGTATCGGTATCCAAGTGGAAGTCATCGCGTTTCCTTTTGACACCTAAGAGCTGGATAGTACAAATCACCCTTGAATTTCCACTAAGAACGTGCGAAAAGCACCATTCAATCACGTTGTTTCTACCAAGTCATACACCAGATGTGCATATAACCAGACTGTTATATAAACTAATTGATCAATTTTAGCTCATTTGAAATAGTGTACAATATATGTCTCGATTTGAATAATAAAAAAATCAAATTAAGTGGGTGAAAGAGATTCAGTACTATAAATGTCTCATCGTTCTCTTATATACTGTGTTAGTGCTTGATGTACATAGTTAATGACGGTTGAGCACATTCAAGTTTCAAGCTGAAGGTGTCGATCTTTTTCTCATTCGAGCTCTTTCACACTGCAACCAAATGTAATACATCATGGTGATGACTGAAATCTAGGACACACGGATCATGTGTACTATAGGTGGCCTCGGTCGACATATAGGCTGATAATCGACCGATATATCGGTCGACTGTCGACCAATAGTCGACCGACAGTCGACCGATAGTCGACCGATAGTCGACCGATAAATAAACCGATAGTCCACCAATGCATCACCTGATATGTACACATTAATCGGTCGACTGTCGGCCGATATATCAGTCGACCGATTGTCGACCGATAGTCGACCGATAATCGACCGATATAGCGACCGACTGTCGGCCGATGCATCAGCCGATATGTGCACATTTATCGGTCGACTGTCGGCCGATATATCGGT